AGGAGCCTGGGACTGTGAGAGCGGCGTTAGCAGAGCACAGAGAGATCCAGATGACGGCGCTGATGATCGCGGTGATTAAATGACGTGTCAACTGTGGAACAAGACTGTGACCTTAATCCAGACAATAAAAACAAATATTTAAAATCTTTATTCACACTCAAGTGAGTGAGAGCAGCCGACACGCGGTGGCTGCGTGCATCATTTCAGAAATAATATTTTTTTTTAAAACAGCGATCGTGGTGGTGATAGTGATTAGGCTGTAATAAGAGTGGGGCTTGAATGACATATCAACTTTGTGACAAGAGGATGACCCAAATCCAGATGGTGGTGGTGATGATTAGACTGTGAGCGGTCCTCATCCAGTCGGGTAGCAATTTCGCAACAGCAGCGGAATCTGACGGAAGGCAGGAGGAAGGAAGCGATGTCGAGGTGTTCTGAAATCCAGAAGGCGCAGGGGAAAAATAATGCACGTCTGTGGGAAAGAAAAGAGCTTCATAGCTCATCGGATTTCTCCAGCATACATTCTGATTCTGAATCACCTCGTGAAAGCTTTGCGCACGATCTCGAACACGCATTTGCGTGGTGCTGCGTCCGGTGACTTGACCGACACGTGGCATTTGGGTTGCGTGTGCGTGAAGTTACGGCCAACGGCCACATTGCTTGCTGTACCGTACACGTGCAACTGGAACGTGGACACATCAGTGGCGCACGATGATTAATCGTTTCCTGTAATATCCATGATCAAGTTCACGATGAGATACATGTAGTGTACATTGCAATCGCACTGTGGATACGATTTGATGTTTTCCCCCTTTCTATGTGTTGTATGCAATCAACATCAACCATCAGAAGTAGCCGTGGTCAGTCCACTGCTGGATAAATACCCCTCCCCTCCACCCGTCAGAAACCAAGCCGCTAGACAGCCTACGACGACCCTGTGGTGTAACGACCTCAATTTATTGCTCCATCTCCTGGGTGGATGTGCTCTGGGACGCGTTTAATTCATTCATTCCTTGGCCGCAAAGATAATACTTCTCCTTCCGTGTGTGGGTTTCGAAGTTTATTGAAGATACAATGTTGATGCATGTTGACTTCCCCAGCAGGAAAAGCTCGCTTCTTAAGAGCTCTCCTCCTCCTTGGACACAATCACTTTAATAATTCCTAAAACCACCATCCCTTCTGGCCACGGCGTGCGCTTCCCAAGTTATTTAAATGAGAGTCTACGTGTAAGACCCCCCCCCCCCACCACTACCACTACAGCACTTTCCCAGCACCGCCGTCATTGCCCCGATGTGACATCGCCCAGCCCCTTATTTCTCGGAAGGCAAGGGGGGGAGAGGGAGGCTTGTTTGTGCAGCAGTGGGCCCGCCTGCGGCTCCATCTCGCTCTAAATCGATCCCCGCCTCACGTGGAGAAACATCGCAGAGACGTCGATTCTGAATACATTTTGAATAAAGGAAAGGTTTCCATTGTCGCGAGTTAACTTCCTGCCACGCCCAAGTCGCAGCAATGGATTACTTCACTTATTCAATGAGCCCCACTTTGCCCTGAAATCGAAAATGCAATGTTGATCATCGTGATCTCCTATTTAGCCTGGAAGCCTGTGTCGTGTAGGAGAGCAAGCAAACCCCCCAGGAATCCAACGTTTCCGACCGCATGCCAACGCTTGGCATGTTTACCGGGACGCCGTGTTTTAATACTAATTACTTACATTGCTGGATGAAGCCCTCCCAATATTTCGGCCATTGTGGTTGTTTGTGGGCCCCCAACTTGACCACCAACGGAGGGCGTCACGCCACGAGTCCAGCCATCACTCGCCGCTGATGTTAACATTCAGTTCAGTTTATTTTGGTATAGCCCTGTGAGCCATCCGACTCTTGAATCGGGTGCAACCACAACAAACAAAAAAAACACGAACAAGAAAAACATCTTAAAGTGACTATGTGACTGTGCAAACAGAAAATCCATGGGAAAAAAACAGCTAAAATATTCCTGAAAAAAGCACCGTACACCAACAATGTGTGCAAAAAATCCCAGTGGGATGCAATCGAACTCGAGGTCACCGGGTTACCGCGCGGATTCGGACCGTGAACTTCTGCAAAAATTGCAAGCGCCGGGGAGCGTGTGACCACCACCCCCCCGCCCCCCCATCGAACACGTCAAGCAACGGTGGTTTTAAATAAATACAACACGCACATGCTGCATTGTGCCCCGACAGACGAGTTCGGCGAACCCACATCCTTCGCGGGCAGCATCCCGTACGGCGCATATTGACGGTGCGGTGATTTGAGTGTTTCTCTCGCTGGTGGGGGGGGGGGGGTGTTTGCGTGCTCTTCTGCTGCGTATCGTGGCAGCTAAACGTGCGGGAGCTAAACGCCAACGTGGCGGGGTTGCTGTTCGCCACGCCGAGAGGGACTTCGGCAGTGTTCACGTACCCGTACTGTACTGTACATGGTGGTCCATATGTATTGTGACCCGCCCCCCCCCCCCAATGAATTCACCAATAAATTTCCCCCGCCGCCCCCTGATATGTTAATTTGTTCGAAATAAACTTTACTTTAACAATATTAAGTTTTCGATCATTAAATAGGGGTCACAAGACATCTGGACCCGGGGGTAGTTGTGCCATCCCCGACGTTGAACGCAATCGCCAGCGATTCACTCTCTGCATGGCCACAATCGCACCACTGTCGATTGCCTTTTAACTCTCCACTCATGAAGGAGCTGTGCGCATCGGGGAACTATTGGTTTTACATTGTCAGCCACACACGCAAAAGAGAACGCGTGGATTAGAGAACACACGCGGGGTTTTATTGGGACAAAATTCAATCAGTTTTCGAGAGAATGAGTGGGGTGACGGGGGCAAGACGGACAACTTCGCTAGACGGGACAGCAATGAAGTGAACTACCAAGGAATGGAACGCATCCGTGAGGACGACTACCGAGGAGGAGGAGGATCAGGAAGGAGAAGAGATGGAGCCACTAAATCAGCTGGTAGTGCAGGTGAGAGTAGGTGGATTCATCTTCTTTGGTTCTTTCGGTAAAGTCACGTAGAATGAGACTAAAATAATACATTGATAAAATAAAATAACACAATAATATTCTCACGACGTTTCGGCCACAACACAAGCGGCCTTCATCAGGTGAAGGGGACGAGACTGTCTATCGTGTTATTTTATTTTATCAATGTATTATTTTATTCTCATTCTACGTGACTTTACCGAAAGAACCAAAGAAGATGAATCCTTGCAGTCACGAAAGCTTTAAATCGAAAAGTAGGTGGATTGTTACATCGCAGCCAAGAAACCCGTGAGAGATGGCAGCGGCTTGGTAGAGGCAGTCATCCAGCAGTGGATTGACCATGCCTACTGGTGCTGATGATGATCATGGCTTGGGTAAAAAAAAAACGCCCGCTTACAAAAAAAGTTACAGAGCATCTGATCGGAGGCGAGAATGTTACCTACCTCGCCGGGTATACAGGAGGTTGGTGGGTTCGATTCTGATCCTGACACCTGCTGTATACTTTCACGTCTCTCTTTCTCTCCCCGTGGTCGCGTGGATTTTTCTCCGGTTCCTCTGGTTTTCCCCCTCCACATTTAGAATCAACGTCTCTACGCCTTTAGAGCATTTTGCAGCTGCTATGCAATTCCACACGGTGATGATGATAAGGCACTTCATACCTGTCAACCCATACGGGTAACACTCCGTGTTCTTCTACAGGGAAATTGAGTTTTCAGGTCCACACGGCGTACAGCCGTTTCAATAGGGCAACATTTTTTAGTCAATTGGTTTGTGTTTCACCCTTGTGATGGGACTTTGTAGGATGAACGTTGAGATGTATGAGGGAACGGGTTGACCAATAAGGTATGAATTGGTTTGTGATAAGGTAGGCACTGATAAGGCATTGCCAGATATGTAGTAGTGTTGTGTGTAGTAGTGTAGAGTGTAGTATATAATGTAGTGTATAGTAGTCTATATCGTAGTGGTGTATGTTGCACACTCGAAATGAAGGACGTGGGCAGGTGCTCCAAATCGAGGGCAAACACATTTATTGTGTTCTTGGTTCTTTCGGTAATGTCACGTAGAAGGGAAACAGTAAAATAATAAAAATATAAAACAATAAAATGTCATTGTTTTTTATTGTTTTATATTTTATTGTTTTATATTTTTATTATTTTATTGTTTCCCTTCCACGTGACTTTACCGAAAGAACAATAAAATGTTATTGTTTTTATTGTTTTATATTTTTTTATTGTTTCCCTTCTACGTGACTTTACCGAAAGAACCACGAAAGCTTTAAATAAAAAAAATACATTTATTGTGGTTAATCTGTAGAATGCAACAGCACGTGTTGTCACACACAGCAATCTTCACCGAGTCTCCATTAACCACGTGACTGGTGTCCACGTCCGGTTAATCATTAACCCTGCCAGCACTCCCCCACAGGCCCAACCCAGTCATCGCATGCTGGTGTACACACGTGCATTGATGTACTGCACAGCACATAAGGATTTATTAAAAGATTGGTCCATTCCTAATGTGCCACATATAGTAGTGTAGTGTGTAGGATGAACTTTGAGATTCATAAGGGCACGGGGTGACTAATAAGGTCTGAATTGGTCTGTGATAAGGTGGGCACTGATTATGGGTTTGTAAACAGGTATGCACTCGTCGTTGAGCTATCATTTGTGATAGCCAGTGTCGCTTCTGGAAGAAAATAAAGCAAGCTGTACAGCTCAGTGGACCTTACCTGATAAAATAATAAACAGTTTAGTTTCATTCACGTCCCCGTTAGTTATACCTGATGACGGCTGCTTGTGTTGCAATCGAAACGTCGTACTCTATTATTTAATTTATTTTCTTTCTACGTGACGTCACCGAAAGAACCAAAGAGTAATTCCTGTAAGTCGCGAAAGCTCCAAATCAAGTCGCCCCATTCATTCAATTCACGAAATGTTAACTCGGGAATCGATTCCGGTTCCACCGCGCGCTAATCGATCGTCGGCCTTGAGAATCGATCCGACGTCTCCTGCCCCTCCCCCTGCCCCACACGGTGACTGCTGCTCCATTTGCGCGATCGTCATTGTCCCGTTGTGTCGCGAGCCAATAACTACACAAACACAACACACACACACGATACGCAACACCATCTCGACACAGCCACAAGCGTAAAGGATACACAGCAAGCGCGGACATTTCACATACGCACGTGTACGCGCATACAACACAGACGTTCACGCAACAGCAGCAGCAGACCACCTTGAAGGGAGACCGACAAACCATCATGAACCCTCAGTACCAGCGCTTGGACGAGGCCGGGGGCTACCGACCGGGCCCCATGGGGGTCCCGATGCAGGACGTGTGCGCTGGGGTGGTCGTGGTGGGGTCGGGATACGATCACGGAGGGCCACCACCACCGTCGTCGTCTGGATCACCTCCTGTCATTGTGCACGCTGGGCCATGGGAGTCGGGGCTCATGTCGGAAGTTCGCGACTATTTGGCGTGGTCGCTGTGCAGCATGATGCACGTCAATGTGTGCTGCCTTGGATTCCTGGCCGCTGTCTTCTCCATCAAGGTGAGGATTCCTACCCCACTCCCCTCGCTTTTTTTCCCTAGGCTAGTTTTCACACCTGTCACAAACTCTTTATGGGTGCCCTTAACTTGTTACGGATCAATTCAGGGCTTTTTGGTCCTTGTACATCTCAGCGTGGCGCCCTACAAAGTCTCATCACAAGGCAGAAACACAAACAAATAGACAAACAACAATGGATTGTTGTGTTTTTTTACGCCGAATGTTACCTGAAAACCCTCAATTTCCCTGCACTTGAACACGGGGTATGATTTATGAGCCGTGTTGGGTTGACACGGTTATTAAGGGATCCGTCGTCGTAAGCACCGCCACCATCTGACTGACCTAAGGTCGGCGTTGGCCTCCTCACCGTCTCATCATCATCATCACCACCACCACTTCTCTCTCGGAGTCTAGGCTCTTTGTTGCGAAAGAAGTTCAACGTACGGTGAAGTCCACGCTTAAGTTGGCCTTCGACGCAGGCGCCGATCTCTGCGTGGTGTCACGCCAATGTCTGCCCGTAACATTATCCCCAACTTGCACAGCAGATGCAACCTTCCCTCCTTAATGTTTAGAGAACCATGTCACTGCCCACCCCCCCACCCCACACACAACATACACAAAACAAAACAGTAAAAAGTACCCCCCCCCCTTCCTTGAGGATGGTTTCCGCTTATTAAAAATGTGTTTCCACTACACGTGGATGGATAACATGAAAGCATGGGCCGAGGCTCACGCTGGAACAGGTGATTGCCCAAGGTGCGACCAACTCTCGTATCGAGGATGGTGGAAGACGAGAAGAATACACTGCCGTATATTCCAGCTATTAAACACCGTCTACTGACTGAACTGAAGCATCTCGTATACTCTTTGGTTCTATTCGGTAAAGTCACGTAGGTAAAAAAAATAAAACAACAAAAATCACGACGTTTCGGCCACAACACAAGTGGTCCCTTCACCTGATGAAGGCCGCTTGTGTTGTGGCCGAAACGTCGTGATTTTTGTTTTATTTTTTTACCTACGTGACTTTACCGAATGGAACCAAAGAGTATGGATCCTTGCAGTCACGAAAGCTTCAAATCTAGCATCTCGTATAGCCTATAAGCAGACGGGTTAAGGTTTTGTTTTCGCCCGAAAAAATAAATGCACAATTCGGGATCCATCAGTGGTCTCCTAAAGTGAACAGGACGACCGATGCAGCAGCGTTATAAGGCACGTTGCAGCGTTAACCTTGGCGTCTATGAATATGATCAAAGCAACGGAAAGCTAAGCTGCTCTGAGCCTGGACAGTGCTTGTATGCGCGACCAGCATGCATTAAAAACTAGTGTTCATAGGATACTGCAGGGGCTATGTTGTGGATTGCAGAGCCCATTGTAGCAAAAGCCTGTTGTACTGAATTTCAATGCCCCCCCCCCCACTTACATGCAACTCCGCCTGAACTGGTATTGACCAGTGTGGTGAACTAAGGTCAGATGACCACCACCACGACTCACACGTAGGCATTGTTCGAGTTGACAGTGGGCTGCACAAATCTGGCAGTCGCCTGATAATGCTAGTTGTAATTACTGGCAAAACGTCGCACTCGAATTGTAAATCTTGTGGGTTTACTGTCCAACACACCGGTGTGCTATACTCGTAACGAATTCACACGTTTTGTTTACGTGGCAAACCTTTACTAATTGGCTGTTGGGTGGTGGCGGGTTTAACAACACGTATTTACGCGATCTAACCCAGAAACATCTAATGGATAATATTGGTCGCGAAAGCCTACGTGTTAAACTGGGCTGCACTTCTCCAAGACGTCTGTGGATAATAACAGGCAAAGGTCAAACCACAACCATAAACCTTAAGCACAAACCCGTAACGTATCGTCCTACTCCTAAACCCTGACCAATAATCCCTATCTAAAACAAACACCACTGGACAACCTGAAGTGCGGAAGGCCGATAAGGCCGGTGTCATAAAACGTAATTGTATTTTTGTACTTGGAGAGCCAGACTTGTTGATATATTGTTGTCTTCCTCGATGATAAACAGCGCACACGATCAGGGTTTGTGCACGTTTTCTGTGGTGTACTCCGAGCAAGTAGTGTTGTTGGGTGTATGGATCTTATCTTTGACATGCCACCCAGATGGCATCGTTTAATGGGACTGACATTTCTGAAGAATCCCAGAAAGTTGACACCGATGCACGTGCTATTGGTCCTCCACAGTACTGATGTAGGCCAATAAGTACGTATTTATGTTGAACGTATTTCGAACTGTGCTAATGCGAAGTGCGGGGAAAGAACAACAAACTAAACACAACAAGCAGTTCTAAATAAATGAGTTTTCAATCTAGATTTAAAAGTGCATGGTTCCAGTGGCTTCCTAATATCGGAAGGAAGAAAGCTGGCAACGTGGTTAGACTAGTGTTTCACTCACCAACATGGTGTAGGTTATGAATTCAAGCTCTGGTCTGGGGCCAACTTAACGTCTTATCTTCCTATTCATTAAATGAGAGAAGTTTAACGACAGTGTATTATGGATTTAATAGCCATTGCCAAGGGAATGTGGAATTTCCACTTTTGGCTAAATGTCCCCAATGAATGTGAGTGATGCCCCCTTTGATTGTTTGTGCACAGGGAGACATTTGGTACACATTAAAGGAAGATGCACGCTATTCAGTAGCGTAGCATGGTTGGGATGGTTCCCTGGTTCACGGATTGAGACAGGACCTCCTGTCCGACCACCTTCATAGTCGGCACCTTGACCCCTCCGGTCCATGGACCGTGGTACAGTTGCACCACCTTTCACACTCTCATCTGCGTGTAACTTTGAGGCTATTATTATAGGTAAACACTCACGAAATAAATCCTTCACTTCCCATGTAAAACACTTAACCGCTTACCCTTTGGAAACTGTACTGATTATTTTTTAATCATTACTGAGTGGCAGCCAAGGAATGGAACGCTTCCAAGAGTACATCCGGCGAAGATGTAGATGGATGAAATCAGCTCATGTTTAGGTGCTCAGTGGATAATTGCATCCCAGGGTCGTGAGAGGTGGCGATGGCATGGGGAGCCCTTAATATAGCAGTGGACTGACCAGGGCCGTTGATGAATTCCCTCTGCTAAAACCAGGATTTGTGAATAACAGGAAAAATACGTTTGTTCATCAATGATTACACCGTCTTTAAATGCCGGTGTCTGGTACTGAGGCACATAAGTTACACATTGCAGTGCGTTGTGGGAATGGGCTGTACACACTGTACAGCGTTGGCAGGAAGTACCTACCTTAGCGGTTAATCTGTCATCAGCAATCCAGTGCTGGATGAAGGCCTCATCAAGCCGTCGCAATCTGTCACGGTCCAGCGATGCGACAATTCACCCAGCTCCTGGATGCAGGCGGAACTTAGCATCGGACCAATCGCGGTGGCCATATTTTTGGACGTGTTGCAGTCTTTGGCTGCCACTCCTACATCCATCACGACCACCAGTCGAGCGCGGCAAAGTCGCAGCCAAGTAATGAAACGCGCCCTAGACTACGTCAGCCAAGGAGACGGAGCAGCAGCTAGGTGGAGTTTTACATTGCTGGAACGGCGGAGATTTCGGCGGCTTGGGAGGGCCTTCATCAGATGTCAACTACCTTGCTTGGTATACACGAGGTCGTGGGTTCCAACCTTGACGCCTGTACATTTTGGAGTTTGCATGTCTATATTCCCATGGTTGCGTGATTTTTTTCTCCGGGTCCTCCAGTTTTTCCCTCCACATTTAGAATCAACATGCGTTTACAGGATTTGGCTGTTATAAATTATTTCCACGTGATAATCCACTTCGTTCAGCTATCATTTGTGTTAGCCAGGTCACTTCTTAAAAAGAGCTATATAGCTCGGTGAGTCTTAACTGGTAAAAATTAAAAAGCAGTTCATCCAGCAGTGCAATGGCCATGATTGATAATGCTGATGAAGATGTTGGTGAAAGTTGCAAGGGGTATAGAGAATTTCCCCACCCTCTACGTCCTTCCCAAGTACAACTGTGTAGGTTTTTCGCGGTTTTCTCCGTACAGCTTTCCACTGCGTTTTCTTCGGGTTATTACTGTGTGTTTCGGTTCCTGTAGAAGCTCCCCCAGCATGTGCAGCGAAACGCCGGGACGTCATGCTGAACAACACGCCGCACAAACCCGAAGACACGGTCACCTTTTGCAGGCATTGGAGCGATGACTTTTAATCTGTGGAGAGGAGAAAAACCGGAATATCACAATAAGATAAACCGCTTTGTGCCGGACTAGGCATAACACGGTTGTGGCCACGGGGAGGGGTGACATTCAACGTCTCCTCTTAAAACAACAGTTCATGACCGAGATCGGATAGTAATCCTGCCATTATCGATACCAACCCCCAACCCAAGATGATAAAATGTAATAATACAAAACCATTGCAAGCCATATATGGTATGTTGAACTTCGTTTGCGCCGTAAGTAGCCAACCATGCTAATTGCAGGTGCGGGGAGGGAACAACAAAGTAACTTCTCTCATCACTCACCATATTACCCGTGACTCCTGCACTTCCCTAGAGCTTTAGGATCGAGCAAAAATAACTCTTTCTTTTATCCACTGCCGTATTGTTCCTGTTATCTACGATTCTTTCATAAGAGGGGAGAAGTGGCACATTCTCCATGGGTTATTGACAGGCACCGTTCCCCGTCACGCACTTTGGGAAACTATTTATGTCATAACTCCGATTTATACACTTGTTTTTGCAGGTCAACTCATTTTATTGTCACATTTATCAAGTTCATCTTATTCTTGATATTTTTCTCCTGCCCCCCCCCCCCCTCCCATGGCCAAGTGGAATACAGAGATGGCAAGTGATTTGCGGTGCAGCAACAAAAGTTGTGAATCGATGGACGTGGTTCAGCTGCCATGGATTGGCGTTGACTGCAAGCCATTGGAAATTGGGTTGGCTCCACTGCTGAACGGTCTCGATGGGCAGTGTGCTGACTCTGTGCCCCATGAGTTGTTCAACTCCACAGTTGTTAATTATTTTGATTTGAACGTTCCCACATTTTTGTTTGACTTGTTAAACGCGACCGTGATGTTTCCACCCGCCCCCCACCCCTCCGTCTGCCATTGTGTTGTGGCGCAGTCCCGGGATCGCAAGTATTTGAACGACGTGGAGGGCGCACGGCACTACGGCAACATCTCGCTGACGCTCAACATCATCGCCTTGGTGCTCGGCCTGGTGGCGTGTGGGCTGTTCATATACGGCATCATTATGCTGGCCAATGGCTACGTCGACCTCATACACAAGTTGGACCACGAGAATCAACCCTCCATCTTCAACAACAACATGAATGGGTAGTTGTTGGCCACGTGGATTGTGTAGGGATAGGGGAAGGGGGGAAAGCCAGGCACGTGGGTGTGGGAACAAGGCACCATAGTTGGGGTAGCGCGAAAGGTTTGATTCGGGAATTTGTGGCTTGCATACTTCTCGTTGCGTTTTTTGTGTGGATAATGTGACAAGTTTATCAGTTGCAAGTTGACTTTTTTTCGACCGAATATTGCCAGGAAGTACTTCATTATGTGGGGGGTTTTTAGTGGTAATATGGCTGAATTGGATTGCTGCATGGCCGGTATTTTCCAAGAAATATTGGCGGAAAGCGCTTGTACAATTTGGCAGAATGTTTCATTCCCTGCCAAGTGTTGGTTGGGGGAAATGTTTCTCCCAAATAATTAGTAAAAGTGCCTCCCCCAACAAATTGAGACCCACACGGTGTATTACGTCTTAAAATGATATTGCAGTCAACTTTACAAAGAATTGGACTTTTAAAAAATCATGTGAAAATATATTATTAGCTAAATTGTGTTTGCGGGGAAAGGGATTTGAAAACAATAATTACAACAAAAATATCTACCAGCACCCACCCCCACTGATTTTTTTTTACTTTACTACTTCAAAAATACCCAGACTGTAGAATTGTAGGATCACATTAAGATTCACATCTTGACGAAACGGCCGATTCACTTTACATCGTGTCAGCGATTTGCTTTATTTTTTGCCAAAATAATCGCAGAGGAAAGCCAACGTTGTCCACATCGTTGTGACTCTGGCCCCCAGAGTGCTGTCATGTCACCCTGTGATGGCAACACGGCAGTTTGCTTTAGGGATAGGGTTCTTGGCATGTATAGGATTATGGTTATTGGTTCCGGCAGGGACCCGCTACTTCAAAACAATTCCTTAATTGGGAAAACCCACTTGGCAACATCGTCACCCCTGACAGCATAATTCCCCCTTGCAGGCTGTGTACACGTTGTATACACAGCTGCCACCAGGGGTCGCCTTGAAATTAGGTTGAGATGCGATGTAAGGCTACATGGGATGCCGAGGATTGCAAGTGCCCTATTAGTGAAAATTATTCAATCCTTAATTTCATATGGCCCGTGACCGCATGGGGGTCTGTCCTTTTAAATCAAAACCGCAAATGATATTTACCCATCACCTGAAGTGAGCTCATCGGGTTTCTTGGAAGAAATGTTTTCAACCTGGCATCGATTTTGTTGCAAATTTTACCACTGTTCTCAGTCACTTCTGCCACACCTTGACAAACCTCAAGTCAATTTGAGGTGTGTTCATGTGCGGTTGTACGCAAAAAGTTTTTGAAAGTCGTATTTGGCCCTCGGTAATTAAATTCTTCCCCACCCCTTGGTTTGAGTTGTAGCTCAGGATTTTGGAGCTGCAGGGCTGTAGAATTTGTCAAGCTTAGTCTAAATTATCTCAGTCAACTGCAAGTGGCTGTAACCATATTTTCTTGGTGAAGGCATACATCAGCAGGTTTCACAGCTGCAGGCCTGTGCTGGGTTATGTAATGATCGATCTATCAAAAAAATATTTCTCACAACACATGCAACCTTAGTCAATCGGCAAGGCAACTTTGGTGGGGTAAGGTGTGGGTACCTCCACCTCTTCCAAGTCATCTGGCCATCTTCGAAGAGTATGCCTTCTTAGGGCTCCCCCCCCCCCGCACCTCCGAATCCCGCACCTCTAATTAGCACAGTTGGCTATGTGCGGTGCAAAAGAAGTCCAACATACATACAGGCCCTTCTAACAGCAGTGGTGTGAGCAGTAATATCAGGGCTGCAGAGTCACCGTTCATCTGTGTGCACACTTCTGGCTAATCTTACTTCGCGGTCTGCGCAACGCTGGGTGGAGTTGTGGCCCAGTTTTCTCGTGCATTGTGCCATGAACCCAGCATCCCGAGTTCGCTTCTCGGCTTACGACTGCAGTTTATCGGTGGCGAGTTGTTGTATCTGAACTGGTGCAGAGCCCCCACGCACCCACGCCTCACCGAACTGCGCTGACCGGCGTGATGATTTATAACCACACGAACCGCCCTGCCCATGCAGCCGCTACGCGTGGAGGTGCCCTTAATCTGGCAGTGGTTTTACTAAGTTGTGGAAGATTTAATGCTACAAGCTAGACGACAGAATTAACAAAGCGACCAAAAACGAAAATGAACAGTAAAAACAAAAAAATAATTTCGGAATCAGCAGTTGTAACCCTGAGTGATGATAATGCGTTGAATTGTGATTTGTAATCGCGGCAATTCATCAAATCGCAAGGGAAGTGAATCGTGTGCGGATGTGCGATCTACGCACAGACCTACCATATACAAAGGTGGTCGCCTTTAATTAATAGTTTTTGGTTGAGGGAACATTAAGGTTACGTGGACACACATGTTTAAGGGTGTGTTGGTTACTGAGGTTACACAGTACTTTGTATATTTAAGTCATCACCAGGTTTCTTATTTTCATACGTTGAACCCGGCATGCAGGTGTGTCATTTCACGCCGAGTTGACCTAGCGGAGGCCCAGAACATTCTCCGATGCTACTTGCCACTGACGTTACGGCTTTGCGCGCACCCTGCTCCCGAGTCAAGCACACGCACTCCAGAGTACAACACTGACTCGCGGTGCATTGTGAAGTGAGGAAGCCTCGCTGGCAGGAGTTGCCCAACAGAGTACGCCCAGGTGTTATGGGTTGACTGAGAAGACTGACAGATGTACCGCCTGTGCTGTCGCTGTACCAACATTACCCACACGTACATGTAGGCAAGACCGCCCGTATAGCCTTTGACGGAATGATGGGGCAAGTGCTGTTGAAGGCCGGCACGGCGCACAACAGGGGTGGGTGGCCAACACCATACCTGGCCGGCCGCCTTTGTCTCCCCAGTGCTGATATTTAGACAACAGTTACTTATTTCAGGCTGAGTGGACAAAGGGGTAGGCCCAGGATCGTTTCAGATAATCATCACTGGTGTTGGCCGTGAGCGGGAATCCAACTTGGGTCGCCGAGTTCGTAGTGCTGCACGCTAACCGATGCACTACCGCTCCCCACAGGCACACACACACACAATATGCATTCAGACCAAACAAATCAATACATGATACTTCATGGCGGTCTATACGGGAACCCATTGTACACGTCAATCACCGGCAGTGCCTGAACTAATCCAATCAACGTGATTTGTTTGACACCTGCCGAGGGGGAGGACCCTCAAGGACTGCAGTTGAAACTTCCGTCCCGTTTAACATCGTGTGAACAGAGAGCAAATATGTAACCAACAGTAGCACTTGTTTTATCCCATCGCCGACTTAATTTTACTTTTACAAAGGGATGTTTATTTTTACGAGGTGGATGCACACAAAATAATTGCACGTACTATTTTAACATAATCACATTGGTGTTGCTGTAGATAGGTGTCTTTCTTTTTTTAAATATGGATAAAAGCTCAAGGGGCAGCCCTGAAATGTCTTGCTTGTGCAGTTGCTGATGGAAGGGTCTCCACTGGAGGGAGCCCTGGAGGACCAATACGAGTAATGCGCTTTACACTACAGGCAGTCCCCGGGTTACGGAAGGGTTAGGTTCCCGAGAACGATCCGTAACCCCAGTTTCACGTACGTCGGAAACTGAACAATTTCCCCCCCAAACTCGAGATTCATTCTATTTTCCTGAACCCTATTGAAGCCCGAGCGAGGCAATAGGCGGCCGCCCGCTTTACGCCTCGCTCGGCGGTATTCGTCCGCAACCTCACCGCGCTGGACTGCTTGCGCTTGTGCAACTAAGGCAAATATTTCCACGTGTCCAATTTTCTTAACACTTTAGGGGGGAGCATTTCCGTGAGGTCGGATTTCCGCAAGGTCGGATTTCCGCAAGTCGGGTCTTCCGCAACCCGCGGACTTGTACTGAGTTTCCTCTCTTTAATGCGGCTTTATTTTGTGCCATTTCCCGTATATATCCAGCTTAACCTATTTCTGCCCAAAATTCGCTCAGCGCGGTTTAAATTCACTCCACACGCGGCTTTACAGTTTGACGTGGGACAACATTGTGTGTGTGTGCGTGCGCCGTATGAAGCGTGTGTACTGTGTGCGCTACTCGTCAGGCAGCCGGTCTCTGTGCAGTTTTTCTTTGTGCACCCTTTTCTTGGAACGCATCTACCGCATAAAGCCACGGGTGGCGAGATGTTAGCTACCTCGCCTGGTACACAGCAGGTCGTGGGTTTGATCCAGACTCTGACGGCTTTATATACAGGGTAGTCCCCGACTTACGATGGAGATGCGTTACGACGACCCCATCGTAAGTCGAAAATATCGTAAGTCGAAAATGGCCTAGCCTAGCCAGGAGTCTTAAAGAATGGTGATAATTTAGCAAAACAGCAATTTACAGTGCCGTACTGTATGAACGATATACTGTATTTATTAATTGCAATACTGTATTGCACAGTGAAATTTAAAGTAAAAAAACAAGGTAAATTCTTAGCCTACCTATATGAACTGCAATTTCATAGAAAGTTTTTTCAGGAAACAATCCTATCTGCTATACAAACTTTAACGTGCATTGAACGTAACGTAACGTATCGTGGTAACCCTAAAATGAAATCGCTAAAGCTACGTACCATACATGCATTGAACGTATCGTAACGTATCATATTCTACTTTGCTCACCAAGATTCTGTCCGTCGTCTGCATACTTGAACGATGTCAGGTTGTTGATGGCTACATTAACTTTGTTGTCGGAAGAGGAGGATGGCGATGATAAAGTTACAGTATCGTACCTCCTACGCTGCTGCATTTTCCTGCCGCGCGAAATAAAAAAATATTTAACAATTTTGTCATATCGCCATCGTAAAATCGAAATCTCCTAAGTCGGACCATCGTAAGTCGGGGACTACCTGTATATATTTCTTCCCATGGTCGCGTAGATTGTTCTCCGTGTCTAGAATCATCCGTTTGGAGTATTAGGCTGCTAACAATGAGAAAGTTTCTTCAACTGCAACCCCGCTCACACCACCGTCACTGTCCACTGAGTAATACCATCGGCAGGCAGGTCGTGTCTGGTAAGATAAAATGTGGGTATTTCCACCTCTTGCAAGACGCCCACTTCCCCCCCCCCCCTTACCAGCTTGGGAAAAGTAGGCCAAGATGCTTTGTGGAGGGGCTCTGTGGAGCCAGCTGCCTGTAGTGGAATCCCTTCGGCTCGCGTGGCGTTTATGCAAGCAATTGCAGGGCTGCGCTTTTACCTTTCACTCACTGTGTTCTGCTTCCAGCACTGCGAGTGCCCTTATATTTGTGTGGTAGGAACGTGTCTGTGTGTGTGAGCTCTAGTTATATTTTTCTTATTATTGAAAAACCGTTATCTGGTTAGGCGACCTTTGTGTTAGAAGAGTATTTTGGAATACAACTTTATACTTTTATAATGTTTGTTGTGTATGGTTTTTGTGTTTGCCATCCATCTATTTAGGGCCAAAAACCGCAGCTTCCTCAGCACTGCTTAAAATAAATAGTGTGCTTCTGTGAATAACAAAACATTTTAAGCAACCTAATGCGTGCATTGTAAGCGAGAACAATTGTTCAGATCAAAACACCCCCACTCGGTGCCAAGGAGTTATTCACCAACGATAACAAAAAAACAAGTGTAAGTTGTGCAGTCAGGATAGCCTGAGCTTATTTAAGGTTGCATTCGGGGTGGTCCTGCATTGCGATATGGCGTAAACTGGAGTACCCGGATAAATCCAAGAGGATGACACTGTAAGACAGGGTTTCCCCACACTCCAGTCCTCCCGTGCCGCGTGAAGCGATTAACACTGCGGCAAGAGAGCCCATTCACATTAAGCTTGCGATCTCCGTGTGCCTTTGACACAGCGGGAATCGCTTAACCTCAACACGTGGGACGTGTTTAACAATCATCGGGCGCGTGCGGCGCGGAACGAGTTAATTCGCATGTTAAATGCCGAGTTAATTTGGGCAAACGAGGAGAGACGAAGTAGCGTCATGGGTCGCGAGGACTGGAGTTTTGGAAATCCTGCTGTCAGTTCTGCACACATGGGTTCAAAACGTACACCCTCAGTGACCGAATCCACCTGACCGTTCACTGATTTGTGATTAATTTGATTGCCGTGTGGTGGAATACAAATATTTGCCCACTCGGACCGACGCCTGCACGCCATTCTCAAATGCTGTGCAATTAAAAGTGGACGTGTGGATGATTGGAGAGGCACTATATAATTCCGTAGTTTTTGTTGTCATTCATGGAGTTTATTGTGCTTTAACGCAATTTGTAGGAGGAAAGGGACGAGATTTGCGTCGTTGTTTGTTGGGAAAGTGATAAGATTGTAACATTCTAAAGTTTTAGTTGCTTTTCTATCGCTGTAAACCATTAAAGCAAACATTTTTTATGCTCACAATGGAGATCTGTTTTTATATTTGCGTGCGTTAAATGTTTGTATTTGGCTATTTTTGCAATGTTTTGATTGTGCCGGAGGACGTTGTGCCGGGAGCTGAAGGATCCATACGGAGCTCTCGCAGAGCGCGCAACAAGCCCGACGTGACAGAACATGGCCTACGATCGTTGCCCTGCGCACCACGATCCATTGTCAGCGGCGGTGGAGCTGCTACTACCGCGGGATTGGCGCCGACCTCAGGACAGACCACGGTTGGCGTGGACGCCGGGACGCTGATGAGGCTTACGCAGTCGCGTAACGAGCGTAGGGCAGGCAGTGGGTGCCTTGCCTCCCCCCCCCCCAAAGCTAGGAGTTGGGGGGGGGGCCCCTTGACAACCACCATGAGATTTGTTTTCAACAACAGTGTCAAAGAACAAAACACTTATTTGAAAGGCGGTTTACATTTTTGAAAGTAAAAATGTTTTCACTTACGTTCCACGTTTTATTTTAATTAGAAAAGTAACTTAATGCAAAGAGCTACTGCGGAGCTGTAGTGGCTGCATGTTGTGAAGACGGAGCGCCCCAACAGCGTTAAATGTCCGAGACCGTGAGCTAACGACGATGTGATTAGGTAAGAGGAGCCGCGATATGGAATAGCATCGAGGTACGGACCGTGCGAGACATCAAATATTGGGGCCCTCACCTGCCAGATTGCCACTCCCCCTGAGCTGATAATGTAGTTACAACACCACTGATGATGTAGTTACTACACCACTGATGATGTAGTTACTACACTGATGATGTAGTTACAACACCACTGATAATGTAGTTACTACACCACTGATAATGTAGTTACAACGCCACTGATGATGTAGTTACTACACCACTGATAATGTAGTTACTACACCACTGATGATGTAGTTACTACACCACTGATGATGTAGTTACTACACCACTGATAATGTAGTTACTACACCACTGATGATGTAGTTACTACACCACTGGTAATGTAGTTACAACACCACTGATGATGTAGTTACTACACCACTGATAATGTAGTTACTACACCACTGATAATGTAGTTACTACACCACTGATAATGTAGTTACTACACCACTGATGATGTAGTTACTACACCACTGATAATGTAGTTACTACACCACTGATAATGTAGTTACTACACCACTGATGATGTAGTTACTACGACACTGATAATGTAGTTATTACACCACTGATAATGTAGTTACTACGCCACTGATAATGAAGTTACAACACCACTGATAATGTAGTTACTACACCACTGATATTGAAGTTACAACGCCACTGATAATGTAGTTACAACACCACTGATAATGTAGTTACTACACCACTGATAATGTAGTTACAACGCCACTGATAATGTAGTTACTACACCACTGATGATGTAGTTACTACGCCACTGATGATGTAGTTACTACACCACTGATAATGTAGTTACTACACCACTGATAATGTAGTTACTACACCACTGATGATGTAGTTACTACGACACTGATAATGTAGTTATTACACCACTGATAATGTAGTTACTACACCACTGATAATGTAGTTACTACACCACTGATAATGTAGTTACATCACTAATAATGTAGTTACTACGCCACTGATAATGTAGTTACTACACCACTGATAATGTAGTTACTACACCACTGATAATGTAGTTGCTACGCCACTGATAATCTAGTTACTACGCTACTGATAATGTAGTTACTACACCACTGATAATGTAGTTACATCACTGATAATGTAGTTACTACGCCACTGATAATGTAGTTACTACACCACTGATAATGTAGTTACATCACTAATAATGTAGTTACTACGACACTGATAATGTAGTTACTACACCACTGATAATGTAGTTACTACACTGATAATGTAGTCACTACACCACTGATAATGTAGTTACTACACCACTGATAATGTAGTCACTACACCACTGATAATGTAGTTACTACACCACTGATAGTGTAGTTACTACGCCACTGATAATGTAGTTACTACACCACTGATAATGTAGTCACTACACCACTGATAATGTAGTGACTCCGCCACTGATGATGTAGTTACTACACCACTTATAATGTAGTTACTACACCACTGGTAATGCCGTTACCACGAGTTCAATTCCCGCTCACGGCCGGTGACGATTATTTGAACCGGTCCTGGGCCTCCCCTAGGTCGACTCAGCCTCAAACGAGTAACTGGTGTGGTATGTCAACATCGCCACTGGGGAGACAAAGGCGGCCGGCCGTGGTGAATCCAAGTCCCGGGCAAAGCCGGGTAGTAAAGCTAGTATTTCATAAATCTTGTGTTCGGTAACTTCGGTTCCTCGTTACGCTTCTGGCTCAGGGGTCATGGGGGTTTGTCTGGGGGCGTCCGGTGGGGACCGCTCCGCTCCAGCCAGGGGCAAGCGACCGACCGACCGATTGTGGTGATGATGACGACGGCATGGAGTCCACGTATCACCTTTACATGACACACGCACAACGTCGTTACGGCCAAATAAACACGACGAGAGCTCGAACACGTTTAAAATTGTGTTCGCAACGCTGTGTTCACAACGCACGTGTCCGCTTTTTTAATATATATATGTTTGAAAAGTAACGGCTCGGTAAAAAAAAAAGGTTGTAGCTACTCGTGTAAAAAACGGGGGTGACTGATAACCCCATAGCGGGACCTCGTTTAACTGGGGATGTGGCGGGCACGACGCAGTCAATGTATGTACGTTGAACTTCCTTCGCACCGTACCTGGCCAACCGCGAAAATCCCAGGGTGGGACCGAAGGACAACAAACCAAACACAGGCAGCAGTTCGAGAGGAATGAATATTCGCCATTGGCGGCGTTTGACTGCTACATTTGGGCAGCAGGGGTTCGCTTTGTCCCTCGCATTAGGAATCGTGGGTGGAAATAATTAACTTGTTTTTTTGTAATCTTTATTGTAAGCTACTGAAAATGAATTGATAAATGAGCCCCCCCCCGCCCAGCCCACCCACACTCCGCCCATGATATTCACACTTTTAAACAGAACGAGCGACGATACGATCTGCTTCTTTCTTGCATTCAGCTCTGCCTCTCATCCTACGGGTATCCATCCAACGCAAGGATTTGGGAGCCCCCCCCCACCCACCCCCATTTACTTGATTGGTCTCACGTTTTCCATTTTTTG